GGAGCCTAGTCAGGATCGAGGGAACGATGACTGCAGCAATGTACAGACACATCCTTGATGAAAACCTGTTCCAGAGTACTCTGGACAACATCTCTGGAGAGATCTGAAAATGGCTGTGCATCGACGCTCCCCATCCAACCTGATGGAGATTGAGAGGTATTGCGAAGAAGAATGAGAGAAACTGCCCAAAAATAGGTGTGCCAAGCTTGTAGCATCATACTCAAAAAGACTTGAGGCTGTAATTGGTGCTAAAGGTGCTTCAACAAAGTATTGAGCAAAGGCTGTGAATACTTATGTACATGTGATTTTTTTTCCATTCAATCACTTTCTACCGCTTAGTCCCTGAACAGGGTCACAGCCAATCCCGGCCGGCAATCGGGCAAAGGCAGGATACACCCTGGACAGGTCGCCAATCCATCGCAGCAAGCATGGGGAGATGCAAACTCCACACAGAAAGGTCCCATAGATTTGCATAGATTTCAAACGTTTTTCAGATTGTCATTATGGGGTATTGTTTGTAGAATTTTGAGGACAATAATGAATTTAATCCATGTTGGAATGAGACTATAACATAACAAAATGTGAAAAAATTTGAGCGCTGTGAATATTTTCTGGATGCACTGTATGTTTTTCACTTATGGCAATAGTGACAAACTGTCGGTATGTCACATCTGACAGTTAAAGCTTGCATCATTCAAGAAGGTATGCTTGAAAACAGTGTTGTGTCTGTATACTTCATTTTGTATGCTTGTATATTTAGGTTTTTACCTGTAACCTTAGTTTTGTAAGTCTGCACATTAAAGTTTCTGTTTCTTTAGTTTGCACATTCAGTTTCACAAGCTACTGTATCCTTGACCCCAAGTCTCCTGAGATCTCTTTTTTTTTGTGTGGCATGACTCTCATACTAAGCAGATGCTTCTGGTGAAAGAGCAGCACTGACAAAACAGACAGGTCCTGATTTACTTGAGTCAGTAAATGAGACCATATGAGGAGTTTGAGGAACACAAAAGTTCCCCGTTCTAACAGCCTGTCCCATCTTAAACTATAGCTAGTTTGTGTTATACAGCCATATGGAGCTTAATGTCAGTAGTGAATTCTAAGGAACAGGCTTTATCTTTAGCTATGTATCTTAAAATTAGCTGAATTTTTGTAGACTTTGAGGCAGAGACCAACCACCTGTGACCCATTCACACCCAGGGCCTTCATGATTTTTTTACCACCCTTCCCTGGAGGGAGAAATACAGGTCAGTCTAAGGTCAACAACCTAGTTGCTTAAGCATGACCTCAGTGGAATGCATCCACCCCCTTGCTGTGCGTTCTTTTGTCTCTTTTCACATCACTAACCTTTTATCACAGCTTCTAGACATAATGGAAAAGACAAGCCCACTTATCAGTGTAACACCAAAGAGTTAGTTCTCACAGTAAGTTCAGTGAAATGCTATAATGACAAAGGTATTTTATCTTGTCAGTAACTGTTCTCCAAAATGTCATCAAAAGATGCTAAGTAAACTTCCTCTTTAAACCTACAGTATTTATGAAGCAGTAACTTTTAATGCAGCCCTCACCTGGATCATGAAGCCTCTCAAACAACAACACACTTATATTATTTACAGATATGGATTTGTTGAACTAATGGTTTAATCTATAAAACATCAAGAAAGAAATAAAACTGCGACTAAGATCTTCTAATGATTGCTTTGTCTGATTAACATTCCAAAAAGCAGCAAATGTTCATACATAAAAAGCAGAAACCAGTTTGAAATTTTTGCTTAAGAATGGTTTTAAGGAGGTTACTGAGTTTTAAAATTGTTGCCAGCATATTTTCTGTTTTATAAGCTAATCATTAATCAGCTTTTAATTTTAGTAAGCCTTCTGTAGCTGGCATTAAAAAGTCTGAGTGGATACATGATACAATAGTGTATCACATCTATAAGGGCAGCCACACTGGGTAGGCAACCACATATTTCTGTCCTCCCCAGCTACACACATGAGAGGGTCAGAATATTAGAAACACCTCTGAATATAATGCACTCCAATACAATACCACCATTAACTATGACCTCAATAATAAACATATAATTGGATTTATACATTTATGACAATTTCACCAAAAACTCATGAGCTTCATAAACATGGATGTTAAGACGGAAGTGTTGCATTGAAGTGCATACAATTGTATAGGTGTACCTAATAAAGTGGCCGCTGAGTGTAATTGCTGGTGAAAGTCTAGTCAAGTAAAATTTTATTTGTAAATCCCAATATCATAGATCACAAGTTTGCATCAAGGGGCTTTACAAGCTGTAAAGCATGACACTTCCTATCCTCAGACAGTCGTATCTGATGAGGAAAATCTCACTAAAAACCCGTTAATAGGAAAAAATGGAAGAAACCTCAGGAAGAGCACAAGAGGAGTGATCCTTCTTCCATAACAGACAGACATGGAGTAAATGCTGAATGTACAAAAGAATCAACAGAATAGATTTACAGCTTCAAAAATACTTTTTTATGAAACACACAAAGTGTCATGAATCTGTCCCGTTTGCTTCCTGTCATGCTTTTATTTTGATACTACTTCCTGTCCCCAGCTCACCTGACTCCTGGGAAATTTAGCTCATTATCCAAATTTGTTTCACCTGCTTCTGATTACCCACACCTGCTAACAACAGTATATAGCAGCTGCTCACCCTGTGGGAAGCTGCCAGATTGTTCTAACCCATGTCAGACTTTCCAGCGTTTTCCTTGTGCCCGGTTTTTCCTGTTTTGACCCTGGATTGTATTTTGACAATTGTGTTCTTCCTTGCCCTCCTGTTTCAGACTGCTTTCTGTGTATGGACTTCCCTCTCTGATCTCTTGTTTGTGGATTCCTCGGCTGTGTAAGTTTGTTGGCTCTGACCTTGGATTGTATTTTCGACTTGAGTGTGTGTTTCGTGTTCACGTAGTTTTCTGTATGGTTTTATTGTCCGTGCTCTTATTAAAGAGACAGTTGTTTTTTTGTTTTTTGCTTACTTATCCTTGTCTGGTTCTATAATTGAGTTCACCCTTGGTATTATCGGCAGCTTCATGCGCCGATTCCTGACACAAAGATGCTTTAAATACAGCGGCCCATAAAAGCAGTTTACAGAAGCACTGGGCAAACGGCAACAATCTAATGGAAAACTAATGGGTTCTTTCAACAATTTGGTAATGTTACAGTGTTTAGTAATTCTAACCACAGATGACTGAGATCATCAGGGTTCATTAATGCTTGATAAGTACAAACTTTTCAATCTGAAATGTCTTATTATTTACCCTGCTAGAGTTGTCATCCTAATTCAAGTTAATGTGCATAAAAATGGCAATCATATGATGACAGTGACCTACTGCTCTACCTCAATCTTAACAATCACACCACCCCAAGCAACAATCATCAATGTAAAAAAAATTTAAGCCAATGTGGAATTGCTAAAACCTGCAGTTCCCCAAAAGGGGCACTGGAGGCAGGCTCCAAAAGGAAGTCAGTCCACAAAATGCCAAACTTTACAGCAGAAAAACATGTTTGCAAGAAATGGTTTTGGCCTGTCTTCTGTGCATTGTAGTCTTCTGTAGTGTTTTATTCATGTGGAACTTTGTAAGCATGAATTATCCTGGCCGCAGCTCAAATTTAACAGCCACTAAACGCCCCCTGGAATTTTTATTTTTTATTTTTTATAAAACCAGAATACACAGTTTATAAATGTACAAAACCCTGTATATGCCTATATAATTAGGACAATTGACAACAACACCATGTAATAGAAGTTCTGTCATCAAGGCTCCCTCATGTCAGGACATGCTTAGGGCGTCTGCTTTCACTCTGATTTTCACCTACTCATTTTATGACTGGATTGATAACAATAAAAATCCCCACTTTGTCTTACTGAAAATATTTATGATACTGCAAAATCGACTGGCTTTTCCATCTGCTTGCTAAAACTCTTAACTGTTGGTGTGCATAATATCAAAGACAGCATGGGTAGAAGAAGTACCAGCATATACCTCTCATCTCATTTTCTGTACTGCTTAATCCCGAACGGGGTCACGGGGGGGCTGGAGCCAATCCCAGCCAGCAGCGGGCGAAAGGCGGGGTACACCCTGGACAGCTCGCCGGTCCATAGCAGGGCCAACACGCAGACGAACAACCCCACACACACACACTTTCCTATGGGCAATTTAGTCACCAATTAACCTAAGCTGCATGTCTTTGGACAGTGGGAGGAAGCCGGAGAGAACATGCAAACTCCGCACAAAAAGGTCGCAAACCCAGAACCTTCTTGTTGTGAGGCAATGGTGCTAACCACCGTGCTGCCCCCAGCATATGTCACTATTGCAAAATGCCATTCATTGTAAAATGTAAGGTATTGAAAGCAGGCTAACAGCAGAATGTAGCATAGCATTTTCATCGTCAGTGTTTAGAGCTACATAGACAAGGAGCTTTGTTGGCTGGTCGTGTTGCGGTCACACTGCCCATGTTGGATCAATAGAAGTGCATTGTTTTGGTTAAACTACTAAAGGCAGCAATCATTTGTTCATGGTGCCCTCTTAAAAGGATGATGACAGCTTCATGTCTGTCAGTTGATGTTTTAATGATGAGAAAGAAGACACTCGAGGCCCAGCAGCTTGTTTCCTCTTAATCACTTTACTCAACCAAAACCACAGAGGCATGCCACTGAATAACTCATCAAACCACAGATGTGTGTTTGCTGTTTGAGGTGGTTGGGATTGTGTTCTTATGGTTTTTTTTTTTTCTGTCTCACTGTGTATGAAGGGCTTGCTGCTGTACAGCAGATACACAATAACCAGATTTGACCCTTTATTTTGCTTCTCATCGCATATTATTTGTCAGGCTCACATGATCACATGAGGATTGTACATGGGTTTGCAGCCTGTTAGTGATGTCATTCTATTTTGCCCATTCCTTTACCTACTTACTATGTGTGGAGGACATACTGGGTTGTTTTCACTCTGTTTCCTGTTCTTACCAGCAGCTGACAGAATGAATGGGAGGAATTTTGGCAGTTTGTGGACTCCGTAGTACTGGACGAATCCGCAGCACTGTCAACCTTTCTAGCACCCGTTTGACATCTCTGGTCACAATGACGCTCACCATGAGTTAGAAGGCATCGTAGACCATCACCACAGCTGTCTTCCCCACCATCTGCAGCACTTTGTACGGAGACGGTAGCATCACTTGCCCTGCTTCATGAGCCAGCAGGATGCGGCTGAGGTCCTCGCACTCTCCGAGCGCCTCCTTATAGCTTCACACAAGGGACAAGCTGACAATGTGGTCCAGCTTATCAACAAGGGTGCAAAAGTAGCTGTCACCAAGGTGAGTACAACATCCTGAAATGTGCTAATGGTTAATTTTGTGTGTGTGTTTTAGTAATTTAGCCCTGTTAGGAATGGTAGTGTCAAGCGGTTGAGGAATCAGTGTCTGCATCTAAGCCTTTGTTCGAAAACAACCTACAATGCTATGACAATTTCTAACCAGCAGTCCATGAGATTTGGTATGGATAATCATAGTCCTCAGAGTATTCCTAATTAATTGGGTAACCCTCTGAACTTCCTCTGTTTCTGGCATCAAGTCAGAACTGCCCTTTGTGTAACAATTCAGTCCATTACAAGGTATCATAAGAACAGGTTTGTTGTGTATATAACCATCTGCTTTTCTATTTGTGCTCCTCAGAAGGAACCATTTTTGGTGATGAAAAAGGTGTTTTCACAGTTTAACAGTTTGGATTGGTTCCACAGAACTCTGGTGTGCCTGCCTGTGTGGTTCAGTGCCTTCAGGCTGGTGTGAACTCTGTCTCTGTAAACTGTGGTGTGGACATAAAAACCTGACTGAGACTGCTTTAAATGTTGAGACTCGGTCAAACTCTGGTGCATGAATACAAAAGCTAAACTATCATTAAATTCACCTCTCAGCGAATTCAGGGTCAGATCCAACTATTTGGCCCAGTTCAACTCACTGGGTTTATATTTCTTGTTAGTGGCCTGTATTATAGCGTCTGCTTCTTTCGTGTATCATTTTACTTCCATTGGGTCACTAAGTTCTGTGACTCATGAAAGTGGTCTTGTGAAAATTGCTGAGACAATTAGTTTTTAGCTTGTGTACTTTGTCTACAAAGTCACTGCGGTTGTCAGTTTTTAGGGCAAGCGGCCTGGGAGGAGAGTGCCAGCTCGGCGTGCTCCGCACCAAGGCAGACCTCGCAGTGGGGTTACAGGTCACTGGGCACGATGAAGCCTGTATTGCAGCCTGGATACACGGTGATGCTGGTGTGGCGCTGGAGTCTGCCATTTGATGATCGTTGCTCTTTAGCCATGTTAGGAATCGCTTTTTAGACTTCTGAGGAAAAAGAGGGGCATAGGAAGCCAATCTCAGGTCACATTGACATTTATTCCACCACAGTGGACCTGAGTGGGGATAGCCCAGTGCAGGGCACAGGGTGTGAAAGAATCTCTTCAGGATTCTGCATATGCAAAGGATGAACCCAGTAGTGACTGCTGTTAGAGGGCGAAGCCTATATGAAATAGAATGGTGGGAAGGATGACTCACAGGTGGACGAGGAAGGAGCTGACCTGGTTGCAAGAACAGAGGGGAGTACGTCATGCAGGTAAAAGGGAAGTGGCTACTCACGGGAGGACAAGGAAGAGACAATTAGTCTGATTTGTAAGCAGAAATAAATGTTTTACTGTATGTAGAATCTAGTATTGTCAACTGCATAGCACACAAAACATTTAATATCATGTGTTTGGCCCCTGACATCATTGCAGATTTTTGATGTGGCCACTGGAGAAGGCCAACAAAAAAAATCTGACTTCAAAGTCGATTTTTGGAAGCTTTCAACCACGACTCATGGTCTTCATCAGTAGATAGTTTGCTCAAAATATGTAGGTCAACCCCCTTCATGACTCAACTGCAATGAGGAGAAGGAGGTCTTCAACAGAGCTTTCACAGGTGAATCCAGCATATTGACTGCCAGTGGAAAAACCAACCCCCAGAGCCACACACAGTCCTTCACTCAGTTTGGAGACAACATCGGCTCCCTTCTGGCTTGATGCCTGCTGTTTACCTGAGCTTGGCTGATGGCTTCCCTCCAACTCGGGCCCAGTGTAACTCAATCCCAAGGCCACATGAATGCAGAGCAGAACAGAGCCACACCCAAACAAAGCACAAACCTCCAAATGCTGAGATAATACCTGGGATGTAATGCGACTTGTGCTGTTGTGTGGGAATACACACTTGATTTATAATTAAACTCTATTTACTCAGTATAATTACAGTTTAGCAGAGATCGTCTGGATCTTGTGTTTGAAGTTTGAACATTTACCTACATGCTGACATCCTGCTCTTCGTATTCTTCAAACTGTTATGCGGAGTTGATGTTCAGATTGTCAGGATGTGTTCAAAGCTTGAGGAATTTTTTTTTGCCACTATTGATAGCCCTTATGTCATCTCACCCTCTATAGTAAAATACATAATGTTGCTGGATTACAATTGCTAGATATTGCATTAGCAAAACTTACCAAAATATTTTTTTTTACTTAATTCTAGAAATGTCTATCCATTCAAGTATTTCTTTTTTGTCTGCCATAAAGGGATTTCCAGCAGTAGACTGTGGTCAAAGTGGTAAGCCACCCAGATCATGACACATCTAATCTCGCGATCAGTTTAGATTGCATGTAACACAATGTCCTTAACAGTAGTCACTCTTTGTATTTGGACTTGCACACTTGTTGCTCTTTAGGTTCCGTGCCTTGTCACATTAAATTTGAATTAAAATAATCCGTACAAGGGTTAAAGCCTGATGTATTCAATCCATAGACATGCACAAAGGAAAGGTGACACGTGAAATGTAATATTTTAAAAATACTTAGTGCATGCATCGGTGATTAATTTATAGTCATAGCTAGCATATAAGAAGCAGTAATTGTTGTGTGGATGCTTGAAGCAGCCACACTATGTTATCCTGGCATTTATTTATTGTGTGGATGCTGGAAAAGCAGCATCCACACTCCACAACATCCTCAGTGTGTAGAACTATTCTCTCTCTCTCTCCCTCTAACACACACACACAACCCTACTTGTTTTACCTACTTTGTGGGGAACAATGGCGAAATGTTTCACATCTTAAGTTCAGTATACTTTCAGCTAGAAAAGCTATTCAGGTATCAAAATAGTCATCTCTTCTAGGACATTCCTGCATGTATTTATTGCATCTCATTCTTCAGCTTCAACAAACGTCTTCTCAACTATTTTAACAAAGAACTTCACCATTTTTTCTCATCCTTCAACTTTTTCAGCAATTCAATTCAAGCATTTTCAGAGCGATCCTTCAGCATATCAACATCCACACACATTTTTGACAGGAAATGCATTTCTCTAGTTATTGTGTGGATGCTGAGGCAGCAGCCACACTCATCCAATTATTTACAGTGGGGAAGGAAAGTATTCAGACCCCCTTCAATTTTTTCCGCTTTGT